GCTTCGCCGGCTCGAGCCCGTTGCCCACCCCGTCTCGCCGATGGCCCAAGTGGCAAGCGAGCTCCATCGACGCGCGCGCCCGCCAAGACCTCGTCGGGCACCGCGATGCCCCTGGTCTCCAGCTTCGAGGCGACGCCGTCGAAGCGGCCGTTGACACCTCGCACATCATGAAACTCCCGCCCGGCGCAGGCCGATTTGGCGGACGTCTCCAGCTGCGCCGCCGCCGCTGGCTCGCCCGAACCTGGGCAGCGCCCCCCGATGCACTCGAGGAAATAGAAACTTTCGCGCGCGCTCCGCGCGCGCTGTTTGCGGGTAGTTCGAGGGAGTCGGGATATGAAAACTGCAACACAATTGACTCCTCATTCTCATCCTGCCGCGCTTTCCTCATTCGTATTTTCGTTGCCCGCGCCCGTAGTCCTGCTTCTTCTGCCCGTTCTGCCTTCCGTCGCTTCGCCACCCCCCCCCTCCACAACCCTCGACCCTCGTCCATCCTCGGGCATTCGCCCTCGCACGCTCGCTTTTCCTGCCTCAGTCTGCCGACCGCCTCTCCGCTCGCCCCCCCCCCTTGACCCTCGCCAAGAGGCCGAGGCCCAGGAAGACCCCGAGGGAATCCCGCGGCGGCCTCGAGGGGTCCCCGGGGCGGCTTCGGAAGAGCCCAAAACGCCCGCGGAAATAATGTCGATGCGTCGGGGGCGCAGCTGCTGCGAAAACACGAGAGCGCGCAAATCAGTTAGTTTCTGTGTGATTCTCAACGCGTCCGACCTCTCCCCAGCCCCCATCGAGCTCTCCTGGACGTTCTCTCGGGCGCTGTTCGCAGCGCGTCGAGGCTCGCGCGGCTCTCCTGGGGGCGGACCGGGCATTCCTGGAGCATCTCGATAGCGTATTGGGGCCTCTTCGGGGGGCTCTTGGGAGCCTCTCACGCGCCTCATTAAGTCTTCGGGGCCTCACGGGGGCGTCCTGGGGGTCTTTGTGGCGGCCTTGGGTTTCGCGGAGCGTTGCGGCGCCTCCCCAGGGCCTTTTGGGGGCCTCCTAGGCGCCTCTTTGGGGCCTCGTGGGGGCGTCTTGGGGGTCCCTGGGGGTCTTCTCGGGGCTTCTTTGCGCCTGGAAACCTTTGAAAACCTCTTTAAAAGTTCTCGGGTGCCGCAACGAGGCCTCGGAAGCGCACATGACGCGAAAACACGAAAATGCACCCATCGGTCCCTTCCCCGTGTTTGTTCAACGTGTTTGGCCTTTTCCAGGGCCTCCTCGAGTGCTTCTGGAAGCCCTCTTGGGCACTCTTGCGGGCGTGTGGACTTGTTTTGAAATCATTTTGAACCGTCTAGGGGCGCCCTTGGGCAGCCCCGGGGCCTCTTGGACGGACCCGGGCACCTTTGGGGGCTCTGCTGGGCCATGTCGGAGCCCTCTAGGGCGGTCTCGAAGAAGCCCAGGCGCTCTGCCACACCCATGGAGGCCTAGTGTCTGCCGCTAGGGCCCCCAGCCCTGGCCCCAGGGCACATGCATGCACCTCGGCAGGGTCGTCGCCCATGTTTTTGTAAAGGTCGAGCTCCTCGCAGACCTCCCCGGCGGCCTTGCCCCCGAGGATCGTCAGCAGCGCGGCACCGCGACGAATCGCGGCGCCGTCGGCGTCGACCTTCCAAGTGGCGACCTCCCTCTTGGACCTCTTCATGGCCTTGTTGGCGCCGTCGAATACTTGAAGATGTCCCCTGCGGACTGGTCCTCTCTGCTGGCTGCACCAGCGCCAACCGCCATCGTGGCGTCTGAGATGCGACGGACAGTCGCTGACACTGATAACGAGCTGGTGCTGCTTAGTACCTTTTGACGTCTCTAGCCCATGATCAAATTGGCTCCTGCTACCAATGTAACCCAACGACGTGCGAGAGGGATGCGAATCGATGCCAACTGTCAAGGTATGGCAAGCGCAAACAATGCAGAAAATGTCTCGACAAGTAGATGTGCGAATCTTTCTGCGCAAGCGAAGCGAGCGGGATTCTACCGATACGCCCAAGCCCAATGGCCCCGAAAGCGTTCGTGCCCACATGAATACGGAGGAAACTCCCTTCACAATTTACACTTTGGCTGCCCATAAACAGTGCAAGTGTACGCCGTTGCTCGCTTGCTAGCTACACTGCTGCATACAGATCAACACTGAACGGCATTCTTTCACACCCGCGGAAATCCACCCAGGGACAAACGACACGAGGAGATCTCGACGCGCACCTATGCATCCAGCGAGAAATGCATGGGTAGGCAACTACATGTGAGCCCTACACTTGCAGGTCTTCTGCAACATCGACGAAAACGTAAACCTTCAGGATGGCCTCGCCTGAAGGAGGGCCCTCGGCGGAGTAGGAGTGGAGGCTTCCGTGGGCGCGTTACTTGTGACAACCACCTCCGTATCTGCGACCCAAAATTATGATTCAAGACAATACTACATGCACCTGTGACCCAATATTGTGGTCAGAGGTCCCCATTGGCACAATAGCTCGCGTGATGAACACAGCCGTACCTGTGAACCAAAATTGCGATTGGAATTCCCAGTCGACGCAAAAAAAGCCTGCGACGAACACCACCGTACCTGTGAACCAAATTTGCTATCAGAGGTCTCCGTCGGCATAATGATGTTACCTGCGACGAGCACCGCAGTAAAATCCAAGATTGAGGTGGTCCTGATATTTGCCACCCACAGCAGCAGTCGCTCGTCCACTTCCTTCCGTCGTGTGTCGCCCGTTGGCCATCCCAGGCGTCTCTGGAGAGGGTCCTTGGGCAGGGCACGGGGGTCCCGGAGCACCTCTCTGTGACACTCCTACGCCACGTGGCCGGTCGTAGGCACAGCACATGCACACCACGGGATTCCATCGAAGGGTCGCTGTCCTAGCCACGCTCGCTGGCGGCAGGCGACACAAAGCTTCCCGGGAGCACCGCCAACGTGGACGGGTGCTCCTGCGCACTGGCGACGACGGCCTTGAATCGCTTCGCGTCAAGGTGGGCAACACTGTACGCCTGCGCCTCGTTCCGTGTCGTACCCAACCGACCGGGGGTATTTGTGGTGCCGCCACGCCTCCCGTAGCATGGCCCAGGAACTCGGGCGAGCGCCAGTGCTCATCCGTGCTGTCCAGGGAGATCGTCTCGCCGATCCCGTGGAGATGCAATTTCCACCTGAAAAGTCGAAGGATGTCTGCGGCCAAATCGACCCATACAGGGCTAGGATCGGGATAAATCGCTCCAGAACGTTCCAGAGCGCTCTCAGAGCGTTCTGGAACGCTCTGGAGCGGCCGCGGAGCCCAATACATCCTCCAAACCAGCCGATTCTCAGAGATTTCGAGTTGTCCCGATCCGATTTTGTCCCGATCTTCGCGTCGTTTTATGGACCCCAGCGGGAGTGTCCGTTACCCCAGTTTCGAGCGGGCCCGCAGGAGCAGGGCTCGCAAGCAGTCGCAGAAGGGGGAAGGCAGAGGCCGATCCTCCTTGGAGGCGGCCGGGGGGTCTGAACTGGTCGGGACCCTAGAACATCAGCCGCGAACAGAAAGCTGAGGCCAAATCCGCTCACAATCGGTCCCCAGCAATCGGTCCCCAGACCCCTCCCGGGGTTCATCTGGAGCAATTTTTCACCATGGATTCGTTTTGGACGGTCCCTTCTGGAGGCCGAAAAAGACATAGAACCTGCCCAAACCCAGCACCTCGAACCTCGTCCCCCCCTCCCTGCTGGCCGGAACCAGTGCTGGGCCATCTCAGACCCCCCGGCTGGCTCCAACGCAGGGGAAGCGTTCGCACGTGGCCGCAGATTGGGAAAGGCAGAGACCGATCCTCCCTCCCCCTCCTATCGGCGGCGAGCCCGCGGGGAAGTAAGAAGGGGCGGGCCTTCTCAGAAGGTTCGGAAGCCCCCCAGCCTTGTCAGAAGTGTTCGAAGCCCTCCCCGAAGACACTGAAGACCTCTCAGAAGGGCCGAGGGCTTCTGAGAAGCCCCGCCGCTTTCTGGGAAGGCATCCTCCTTTTCACTTCCCCACTTCGCTCGCTGCCGATCCTATCCCTCTTCCTTTTCCTCCTGTCGCTGTCGCTGGCGGCCACGGAGTCCAGGAGGATGCGGGCAGGCGTAACCCTCCGCGGTGGCCCCCGATCTGGCGAGGGAGCCCGATCGTGGCACTGCCAAAACGGGGCCGCGCCTGCATGGCGCACGGCATCCTCCTTCTCGCTTCCCCTCTAAGGGAACGAACAATGACACAAATTGGCGGCGCGCACAAGGGGGTAGAGGGAGGGGGGAGGGCTTCTTAGAAGGAGGCTGCTTCTTAGAAGGCGCCGGCCTTACATCTATAGATAAGGCCCGCGCCTTCTAAGAAGCAGGGGTGCTTCTAAGAAGCCCTCCTCCCTCCCCTCACCCCCCTCTGCGGGTGGCTGAATGAACACAAAAACTCGGAGGTCCGCGCGGAGCTCGCGGATCGGCGCCGGAACCCCCGCCCCTGGCGCGCGGAGCGCGCCGGGGGCGGCGAGCGCGCCATGGGGCGGCGCCGGAGACACCGCCAGAGGGGTCCGGCGCCGATCTCCGAGGAAGCCGCGCGGACCTCCGCGCTCTATGTTTCTGTCACCGCTCGTTCCCCGATCCTCGCTCGCCGCCTGCCCCACCTCTACCTTCATTTTTTGTTCTGCAATCGCGCATGCGAAACTTAGATCATATACGTCGCAGGCGTGGCCGCAAATCGCGACGGGCGAGGTGCGATCCACGTCCCAGAACGGGCCGCGGGTCGCGGAGGCGAAGCGACACAAAGCGTCCTAGAATGGATGCGGATGCGGATGCCCCCCTCTTCACCCCGCGGCTTCCTCGTCCTCCCTCCTCCTCCTCCTCCTCCTCCTCCTCCTCCTCCTCCTCCTCTCCTCCTCCTCCTCCCCTCCCCTCCCCCTCCTCCGCTCCTCCTCCTCCTCCTCCTCCTCCTCCTCCTGCTCCTCCTCCTGCTCCTCCTCCTCCTCCTCTTCCGCGGACGCCCCCCCGCCCACCCCGCGGCCGGGGCCTGCCGCGGCCACCCGCGGGGGCCGCGGGGGCGGCGAGGGCGGCGGGGGCGCGGGCGCCGCGGAGGGCGCCGCGCGGGGGAGCGGCTGGCCCAGGGCGTCCTGCGGCCAGCGGTGAGGAGGAGGGGGAGGAGGAGGAGGAGGAGGAGGAGGAGGAGGAGGAGGGAGGAGGAGGAGGAGGAGGAGGAGGAGGAGGAGGAGGAGGAGAGGGGAGGGGAGGAGGAGGAGGAGGAGGAGGAGGAGGAGAGGAGGAGGAGGAGGAGGAGGAGAGGAGGAGGAGGAGGAGGGAGGAGGAGGAGGAGAGGGGAGGGGGAGGAGGAGGAAGGACGAGGGAGGACAGACGCTCTGGACGCGGGAGGAGGAGAAGGGCCAGGACGACGCGTCCTGGCCCTTCGGCTGGCCCAGGGGGTGAGGGCCGAGGGGGGCAGCGGCTCGGGGCGCGCAAGAAATGGACTGGCGATCCATGGATTTGGCGCGCGGCCGCCAGATCCAGGGATCCGGGGAGGTGCCCTCCCCAGAATGCGGCCGGTGCCGCCTCGCTCGGCGGCGGGAATGCGCGATTTCCCACGGAAGCGGGCCGGGACCCGTCGTTAATCCACGCCCCCCTGATCTGTGTTGGCGATCGCCTGAGCGGTGGGAGGGGCTCATCTCTTGTCCCAACTCTCCCGTATGTCGGGTCCCCGTTTGGAATTCGCAGCGCCACGCCCCACCTGCCTCCTCCTCCGTGGCAGGGTTCGCATGCGCACTCGGGTCCACTCCTGCACACCCCATCACACGCTTGGCGGCCTCATAGGGAACACCGAAAGCTCCAGTGGCAGGGTTCGCATGTGTACTCGGGCCCATTTCGGCACACCTCTCACACGCCCCGTAGCCCCATAGGGAGCTCCACCGAGGGCTCCGGTGGCAGGGTTCGCATGCGTACTCCGGTCCACTTCGGCTCCAGTGGCAGGGTTTGCGAGGGTACTCGGGTCCACTTCGGCACTCCCCTCACGCGCTTCGTGGCCCAATGAGGAGTTTCACCGGAGGCTCCAGAGGCAAGGTTCGCATGCGTACTCGGGTCCATTCTGGCACACCCCTCACACGCTTCGTGGCCCCATAGGGCCCCAGCGGCAACGTTCGCATACAGTCCACCGACCATTTCGGCACACCCATCACACGTTTCGTGGCCCCCAGAAAGCGCCACCGAAGGTCCCACTGGCAGCGTTCACATACCGCCCCCCAGCGATTGCGGCAGACCCCTTACACGTTTTGTGGCCCCCCGGGAGCTCCAACGAAAGCCCTAGTGGCAGCGTTCGCATACCGCCCCCCGACCGTTTCCCAGACAACCCTCACACGCGTCGGGGCGCCATAGTCAGGTCCCTTGCGAATCGTTCAGGCTTACTGCAGCTCCCTCCACGTATTCTCGTGTATTGAGCGGTCCTGCCTGTATTCGCCTCGTGTTTGAAATGACGTCGGGCTCTTCGCCAGGCTAATTCTGGGGAGAGGGGAGGGCGCCGAGGGAACGAGGGAGAGGAGAAGGAAGACGAGGCCGAGGGGGAAGCAAGGACGACCCGCGCGCCACGGTGGGAGGGGTTCACCGAGCAGAGGATTGACTGCAAACTGGATTTTTACCTTTGAAAAAATGTCCTCGACCAAGGAGACATTACAGAGGGTGTTCGTAGATCGCCGAGGGGGGAGGGCAGGTGTGGGGCCCAAGAATATACGCCGCCACCACCACCGCCACCACCCTCACACCTGCCCTCTCCCGGGAAAGAGCAAAAGGAAGGGGAGGGTAGAGGAGGGAGGAAGAATGGAGGGTAGAGGAGGGTAGAGGAGGGTAGAGGAGGGTAGAGAGTAGAGGGGGGAGCAGAGGAAGAGGATGGTAGAGGAGGGAGGAGGAATCGAGGTGGTGATGTGTACTCTCGGGGCCCGCAAGTGGGCAGCGATGGGAGGGGCTCATAGGGGAACAAAACGCATACGTGAGCACAAACTTTCGGAGATCCGCGCGGATTTCTTGAATCGGCGCGGACCCCCTCCCTGGCGCGCAGAGCGCGTCAGGGGCGGCGCCGGAGGCACCGCCAGGGGGGTACGGCGGGTTCGTATCGCGACGCCCCCCGCGCTGGTTCCTGACACCACGTGGATCGTTCAGCCCTAAACGATCGGCTGTCTTCCGCTCGCCAAATCGCTCCACGGTGGCTGGTTCTGGGCTGTCGGCGTTCGACCCCGACCGCCCGCGGCGAGGTCGCTGTCGGGTCGACGCGGCACGAACCTGCCGTGCACAGGCTCTCGAGGCTTTCGGTCCGGGGCTCCGGGTGCTCGGGCGCCTTCGCCGGTGCTCGACGAGCTCCCAGCCTCGGGGCGCCCTCCAGCAGCGGCTGCTCCTCGCCGAGAGCGTCCCCCCGATGGAGGGAAACGAACTCTATATACGCCGACGCTTTTTCCAGCCCTGCGCTGAAATTCGCACAAGAACGCGGATCCTGGTGTATTCGGGATCCTGGTGTATACATTGTTCGCTGTTTCCCGTGGGAAACGGGGGAAAGGTATATACCACACCACCCCGACGTCGTCCCCGACCCTCAAAAAGTCGTGGGATCGAGAAAACAACCCTCCACTGGTAATGTAGATCTTCCAGCTTATAGACGATTGTCCCCAACAGCCCGCAGGGAAGCAAGGGCTCCCAACTTCGCGTTTCGCGCTGCGCGAAGCGCGAAGCGCGAACAACTTCGCGCTCTCGCGCCGCCAACCCCAAAGGGAGAAAAGGAGGACGAGGAGGAGGGGGAGAAGGCACGAGGACCGCGAAAAGCGCGGAGCGCGAAGAACTTCGCGCCCTCGAGGGTGCCCTTGGGAAGGGGGGGGCGCGAGGGAGACGGCGCCCTGGAGGCAGGGAGGCTCTCGGCCGTGCTCGGAACCCCAGCCGACCAGCCAGAACTGGGGGAGCCGTGGTCCTTACCCCCCTGGGGGAACCCACCGCATCGACGATCTCTCGAGAGGGGCGTCGAAATCGATGGGTCCCCCAGGGGTGTAAGGACCACAGCTCCCCCAAATGTGGCTGGCCTGCCCAGGGCCACGGCGGTGGCCGGAGCCCCGCCGCGGACGCGCGAGGAGCTGGCCGGCGGCCCCGAGGGGCGGAGGGCTCCACGCGGCTCGCGCTCCGCTCCGCCGAGACGGCCAGCCCCGGCCAAGGGGGGAGGAGGAGGGGGAGGAGGAGGAGGAGGAGGAGGAGGAGGAGGAGGAGGAGGAGGAGGAGGAGGAGGAGGAGGAGGAGGAGGAGGAGGAGGAGGGGAAGGAGAGGAGGAGGAGGTAGGGGAAGGAGGAGGATGGAGGAGGGGAAGGAGGAGGAGGGGGGAGGGCGCGGCTGGGCGCGAAGGCCTTGCGATCTCCTCCCGAAGCCAAGCGCGCTGCTTCGGGGCCCCAAGCCGTGCGGTGGCGGGCCGCGTGGTGGCCTCGGGCTCCGCGGCGGTCCCTCACCGCACGGTCTTGGGACCGCGGAGGCCCCCGGTCGCCCGAGACGTCCCTGGGAGAACGGCCCGGGTGCGAGCGCCGTGCGGCGGCCCCAAACCCCCGCTGGCTCACCGCGCGGTGTGGTCACCACACCGCTGGGGGCCTCCCAGGCTTCAGGAGTCTCGGCAGCATCTCTCCAGCGATGCCTCGCTGGAGGCGCCAAAGCAGTGAACGGAGCGGGTCCTGGAGGGGAGGCGCCGGGCAGGCTTCTGGCTTCTGGCCCTTTATCGGGACCCTCCGCAGGCCCCGGGCCCGTGAAGCAACGAGCCCCAGATTCTTATAGCTGGGTCCTGCGAGTAGCCTCAGGGTCACGGACCCGTTTCCGACGGGACCCGCCTCCTCCATGGCGAGGGGGGGAGAAGGATGTCCGGAGGGGGGGGGAGGCGAATGGAGACCTCAGGAGAAGGGTCACAGGAACAGGAGGATTTGAGGAGAAGAGGGAAAGGGATCTTCTAGCATCTTGCGGAGGAGTCGGCGAACCGTGCATGCAACCGCGGTCAAGCTCCAGCAACCGCCAGGGCCAGCAGCAGCATGACTCAACCGCAGCGTGTGGATCACTCCTCCTATCAGCAGCCAGCCCCGGAGGCAAGTTGGAGGGGGCTGGCCTTCTCGGAAGGCTCGGAAGTCCCCCGGCCTTCTCAGAAGTCTTCGAAGCCCTCCCCGAAGACACAGAAAACATCTCAGAAGGCCCGAGGGCTCCTGAGAAGCCCCGCCACCTTCTGAGAAGTCTCCCCTCCCCACCTCGCTCGCCGCCGAGTCTCCTCCTCCTCCTTCCTCCTGTCGCTGTCGCTGGTGGCTCCCCCGACATCCAACGTCTCGATTTTTTCGAGACGCGGGCCCCCGACCTCCCGACCACTTCCCCGGGACCGTTTTCATCCCGAGCCGTTTTTTGACCGTCCCGAGGCCTTGCGAAGCCGCCTCCCCCCAAGGAGGCGCAACGATGAAAACACAAAGCTCAACAAAAAAATCTGAAAATACAAAAAAAAAAAAAAAAAAAAAAAAAAAAAAAAAAAAAAAAAAAAAAATCCGGCGGGGGATTTACAAATCGTGGCCAAAATCGGCCTGGGGGACGGGGCCTCACGAGAGGCCCGGCGAGGGCCCCGAGAGGCCGCAAATTCAAAAAACCTCCGCCTCGATTTTTTTTTTTTTCGAGACGCCTGCTGTCTGGCAGTCTGGAGTCCAGAAAGATGCGGGCAGGGCCGGCCCTCCGCGGTGGCTCCCCCGGTCCGGCGAGGGCGCTCCGCTCCGCCGAGGAGGAGGAGGAGGAGGAGGAGGAGGAGGAAGGAGGAGGGAGGAGGAGGAGGAGGGGGCGATGGCTGGGAGGAGGAGGAGGAGGAGGAGGAGGGGGGAGGGGGGGAGGGAGGAGGGGGAGGAGGAGGAGGAGGAGGAGGAGGAGAGAGGAGAGGAGGAGGGAGGAGGAGGAGGAGGAGGAGGAGGAGGAGGGGAGCAGGAGGAGGAGGAGGGGGAGGAGGTGGAGGAGGAGGAGGAGGAGGAGGGGAGGAGGAGGAGGAGACCGCGGCACCGTCCGTGCGGGGCCGCGCCAACGTGGCGCACGGCGGGCGCAGCGGCGCACGCGCGGGGGCCGAGGCTGCCTCGGCCTCGGGCGCCGTCGGGGCCGCCCC